ACTCACTTGGTAGCCCAGGCTGGCCTTGAACTCACAGAGATCTGCCTGCCTCTGCCTCCCGAGTGCTGGGATTAAAGGCGTGCGCCACCACCGCCTGGCTTTCCCCCTGTTTTTCCTTTCTTTTTTATTTTAATGGTGCTGGGAATGGAACCCAGGGCCTTGCATATGTTAAACATGTGCCCCACTGCCGGGCTATACCCCCAGGACTTTCCTTTTTTTTTTTTTTTTTTTTTTTTAAATCCTCACTAATGAGTGGGGAGGGGAGGAAGGAGATTGTCACTATCTCTGGTCCTATCTGTATCTCACTTGATGCTTAATGCTGATAAACAGCAAGTTAGACAGGTCCAGTGTTCTTGTCTAAAATGATCTAGATGGGAGCCATGAAAAGAATGTGTGCCAGTGTGTGTGAGGCTTGGACCCAGGGGGTTTTGTATGCCAGACAAGGCTCCATCACTGAGCTATACCCCCAGCTCTTTTTGTATTTTATTTCGAGATAATTTTAAGGGTCTCTCCATTAAAGGCCTTTGTCACTATCACAACTAGTGGGGGTTCATATCTACTATACACTATATATAATATCTATATAATACATGAGCATTGATATACAGTATATATTATATATGAGCATATTTTACATACGTGAGTGTTTCCTGTAGTGGTACTTTCTCACTGGGACTGCCAGTCCACAAATAATGACACCGGAGACTTGTTATTCTAAAAGCTCGGCCTTAGCTTAGGCTTCTTCCCAATAGTTCTTATAACTTAAATGAACCCATATTTTTTAATCTACGTTCTTTCACGAGCCTCGTCACCTCACCTCTGTACTGCCCTGCCCATCCTGCTTTCTCTGCATCTGCCTTTCTTCTTCCCAGAGTTCTTTCTGCCCAGAAGTCTTGCCTATTCTCTCCTGCCTAGCTATTGGCCGTTCAGCTCTGTATTACACCAATCACAGCAGTCCATCTTCACGCAGTGTACAACCTTCCCACAACAGTTTCCCTTTATGTATGAATGCCACATGTTCTTGGTTCCCACGGAAGCCAGAAGAGGATATCAGATTCCCTGCAACTTGAGGTACAGATCCTTGTAAACCCCTCTGTGGGTGCTGGGAATTGAACCTTGGTCCTCTAAAAGAGTAGTATATATCCTTAACCACTGAGCCATCTCTCCAGCCCTGAGGTATTTTAAATGTAAATCAATAGTCAGCAGTTTCCTATTTCATATAAATAGCAAGCAAGAGAACATCTCTGCAGGCACTGCTAGAAGCAGATAGGGCCTGAAGAGTCGCTGTGTCAGCTCCAGGTGGGGAGAGCAGTCTGCTGCAAGGGTTTGTGGGGAACACTTTCTGTGCCCCATCTAAGGTAGCTATTGGTGGTAGGATCCGAGCCTGGGCCTTGGGCAGCCCTAGTAAGCCAGGTTTGATCTATTGTCCCCAATAAGCCAATTAAAGGAGCTGAATTAATGGTGACAACCAGGGGCCAGTGAGATGGCTCCGTTGGTAAAGGCTCTGGCTGCCTGATGACCTGAGTTTGATCCCAGGTCCCATGTGGTGGAAGGAGAGAACACATTTTTGAAAGTTTCCTCCTGGCCTCCAAGTGTGTACATACACACACACACACACACACACACACACACACACACACACACTAAATAAATGTAATAAAATTAAAATAGTAACAGTGAAAAGCAGGGAAAAAAAGCGAGCAACAACAGGGATTTATTCCATGTAGCCACATTGGATCTAGCAACAAAGTGATTTGGTGACACTTCCCAGTTCATCTTCAGAGTGCTACATTAGTAGAGACCAGAGTTCTGCATAGCGAAGCAGTCTAGGTAGGTCAAGGTGTGGTCCTGCCCATTACTGACCCATTATTGTTGGGGCCTTAGCCTCATCTTGCAGGGTTGTTGGACAAGTTGTGAGAACCCTGAAATCTTTTTTCCTGGCTACAACTTCCTGTCTGTCTGTCTTCAAGGGTCTGTTTTTCTCCTCCCAGTGCTCTGAGGCATCTCTTCAGACCCTATCTGTATTTTCTTCATTCTCTGTCATTTTCTGTTTCAGAGAAGCCAGTTCCACCCAGTGGACCAGTCTGGAAGCCCAGGCAGGTCCTTGCAATTCCATCTGGTCACAGCAAGTTCGAGGTAGAATGAGCCGAAGCCTTCTGTTTACACTTGCTCAGAAAAGCTGAGTCAGGAGCCAGAGTGGCCTTCCACACTGTTCACTTCCCAGGATTTTCTCGTTCCCTTTGCTCTGTAACTCAATGATCTTACTGGCCAGGTCTCTCTTCTGCATATCAGAGTCACCTAAGCAAGGTCCCTGAGGTCAAGAAAGGCCTTCGTCCCCCTCAGCCGGACTCTATCCCCACTATGGAACAAGCTCAGGCGGAGCCCACAGTCCCCAGCAAGGCCAGTAGTGCAGAAACTGGTGAATCTGAAAAACACGAGGCCCTGTCCGGACCAGAGAAGCACTCTCCAGACAACCCCCAGGACAAGGGCGGTGCATCTGAAAAACACGAGGCCCTGTCCGGACCAGAGAAGCACTCTCCGGACAACCCCCAGGACAAGGGTGGTGCATCTGAAAAACAGGAGGCCCTGTCTGGACCAGAGCAGGACCCTCCGGACAACCCCCAGGACAAGGGCGGTGCAGAGGCTGGTGGGACAGCTGGAGAACGGGACCCAGGAGACCAAGCTTTGCCACCAGCCCAGGATGGGGACAATCTCGAGTGCCCTCCTCCTGAAGCTAGCTCGAGTCCGTGCGGGGCACCATCTGAGGTAGAGACGGCAGAGACGCGTTCTGGGCCACAGGAGCTTCCCCAGTCCCCCAGGACCCAACAGCCTGATGTAGATTTCTACTGTGTCAAGTGGATCCCCTGGAAGGGAGAACAGACCCCCATCATCACCCAGAGCACCAATGGCCCTTGTCCTCTGCTGGCCATCATGAACATCCTCTTTCTTCAGTGGAAGGTAAATACAGGGAGCACAAGCAGTGGGCTGTGAGGCACTGGGCAGTTAAGATGGCCACAGACTTGCTCTTCAGATGTGCTTGGTCTGTTCACACAGATGTTCCTTGAGACCATGCTACGTCAAGGTTACTGCAGTCTCATGTCCAAGACATCTTACCAAGTGGGAATGGTTGGTCCGGCAGATAATGATGCGGGGTTCCACTGGGGACTTCTCTCCAGTAAGAACGCTTGGGGAGCTTTTTTTTCAAGCTCACACATCTGTGGCAGACATGGAAGGTGGCTTTGTTGGAGGTCCCAGAAGGTCCTTGAGAGCATTGGCCAGCAAGCCCACAGGCCAGCGGCCAGCACTGACTGGTGGGCATGTGTGAGCTGGGCGCTGGTGCTGGAAACTTGAGGCTCTCTGAAGCCAGAGTCACACGGAGGCCAGTCTCTAAGTCCCCTTGTTTGTTTATTGGTTTTTCGAGACAGGGTTTCTCTGTGTAGCTTTGGAGCCTGTCCTGGATCTCTCTCTGTAGCCCAGGCTGGCCTCGAACTCACAGAGATCCGCCTGCCTCTGCCTCCCGAGTGCTGGGATGAAAGGCGTGTGTCGCTGCTGCTGCTGCTGCTGCTGCTGCTGCTGCTGCCGCCGCCACCACCACCCAGCTCTAAATCCCCTTGTTGAGGGGTGTAAACACAGAAGCTTGAGATGCCTTGTCTCGAGAGCAGTGTGACCCTAGGGCTACTTCCAAAGTTCCAATTTTTTGTTATGATTCCAGTGAGCATTCGTTTGCACTGTTGGGGCTTGGAGCTCGGGGCAGTTTCCCTGGGAAGTCAATGCTGCCTTGGGGTTGGTTCATCAGTGTATCAGAGCCTGCCTTGTGGCTGGCTCCTTCTCTTGCAAGCAAACAAAATGGCTTCACTTAAGTTCCTGACAGTAGGCAAGCCCTCCTGTGGGGGGCGGGGTAAGGAAATACTAGGAGTGTGCTTCTCTGACCCTCCTCCAGCACCCTGATTTTTCTCAAGCCTGTCCTGAGTTTACAGATCAGCCCTTTGTTCAACTCCGGTCTCCCCTGCTTTCTCTCACAGGGGGAATGCTTGGCAGTGTTTCCTATCCCTTCCCTGGTCCCAGCACTGAGCCCCGCCCCCTCTTCTGTCCCACCACTCAGTCTCTCTTCCTTCCCCCCTTTTTCTGTTTGCTTTGTTGTTGTTTTATTTTTTGAGATAGTGTCTCACTATGTAGCCTTGACTGGCTTGAAACTCACTCTGTAGACCAAGCTGGCCTCCAACTCACAAAAACTCCACCTGCCCCTGGCTCCTCGGTGCTGGGGTTAAAGGTGTGCGCCATCACACCCGGCTGCTTTTGGGGAACTTTATACTATAAAGCAGGCCGGCCTCACCCCTCCTGCCTCAGCTTCCTGAATACTAGAATTGTAGTCATGAGCCCCCAGGCCTGGCTTGGACCCCCTCTTCCTGTGTTCCTCCTTCGCTGCTGGTTGTAGAAGCTCACATATGACCACCCGTCTCCCCAGGTGAAGCTGCCCCCTCAGAAGGAAATGATCACATCAGATGAGCTCATGACACATCTTGGTGAGTGACTTACGGAGGAGGGGCTCATTTGGAGCCCTGAATGTGGTATTGAGGGCAAGGACGAGTCCGAGTCTTTTCTGTAAAGCTGGAGAGTAAAAGGCAAAGCTCAAGGGATCAGGGCTTTTGAGTTAGCACCGTTCTGCCTCCCCCACCCTCCCCGCCCTCCCACCCCATTGCTGGTGCTAGGGGTCAAGCACAAGCCTTGACTGTCCCGGGCAAGCACTGCACCACCGGACTCTAGCCCTGGCCTCTGTCCTTAGCTTTCAGTTAGGTGGGTCTGTCACCTCCATAAGTCTGTTTATTCCTCTGAGAAATTAAAATTCTGGATTGGAGTTTGAAAACCCATGGTCCTGAGACCTTACCCCCATTCTCCAGAAGAGGAGGAAGCCAAGCTTTTTGGGACGACTGTCAGGGTAGTTTGGGTAGGCTGATAACTGTCCTGTCTTACAGGAAACTGCCTCCTATCCATCAAGCCCCAGGAGAAGTCTGAGGGCCTTCAACTTAACTTTCAGCAGGTGAGGCAAGAGGGCAGTGGACATAGGGTGGATGTGAGCCTTAGTGGGTGATTCCTTTATCTTGCTATCTTCTCTCGGGGGTGGGGGGTGGGGGGATGGCATCTCTGTCCTGAAAAAAAATATTCGTTTTTATATTAGATAAAGAGGGATTGAGGCAGCCCAGCACAGTGTTGTATGTGTGCCTTTAGTCCCAGCACTCGGGAGGCAGAGGCAGGCGGGATCTCTGTGAGTTCGAGGCCAGCCTGGTCTACAGAGTGAGATCCAGGAGAGGAACCAAAACTACACAGAGAAACCCTGTCTCAAAAAAAAAAAAAAAGAAAAGAAAAAAAAAGAAAAAGAAAAAGAAAAATCAGGCTTTCTGATTTGTCTGGACAGTGGGAGGGAGAGGGAGGGCTGGACTGGCCATCCTTGTCTTTCCTCCCACCAGAATGTGGATGACGCAATGACCGTGCTCCCTAAACTGGCCACAGGTCTGGATGTCAACGTGCGATTCACGGGCGTCTCTGACTTTGAGTACACACCCGAATGCAGCATCTTTGATTTGCTGGGCATACCTCTGTACCATGGCTGGCTTGTGGATCCACAGGTGAGGACACGGGAGGCCCCGTGAGTCTCCACCAGACCAAGCTGGCATGAATAAGACAACAAAACAAAACAAAAGGCAGGCATCTAGGAAGGGAGGGGTTTGCTTAGTTTGAGGAGGGTTAGGATTTAGAGACTGAACTGATGCAGAGTTCCTTGAATGTTAATATTGTTGGGTGGAGTCACATTCCAGTACAAGGAAACCACACACAAATAAGATCAGGGCTTTGGACATCAAAAGTTCAGGACTCTTTGATCACAAAGTCACATCCAATGGGCTTGGTTTATTTCCTTCCTTAAAAAAAAAAAATCAGTTTATTTTTGTCCCACCCTGTCCCTACTCCCCAGAGTCCTGAGGCTGTGAGTGCTGTTGGGAAACTGAGTTACAACCAGCTGGTAGAGAAGATCATCACCTGTAAACACTCCAGTGACCCCAACCTCGTGACGGAAGGTGATGGTGATGTCCTCTTTCCTTGAGATCTCATGCAAAGGACGGCCGAGTAGGCTTGTTATTCTTGTTTTGTGTGATGCAGAGAGAGAGAGAGGAACTTTATTTTTTGGGGGTTGGGGGAAGATACACAAGGCGCATGTAGTTCAGGCTGGCCTTGAAATCAGTACGTAGCCCAGGCAGGTCTCAAACTCCTGCCCTTCCTGCCTCAGCCTTCTGAGAGCTCAGAACACAGGTGTGCTCTCACACCCCTAGCTGTATTGACTGAATGAGTAAATATCGTCAGGCTTTAGGAAGGGTTTTTATCTCAACTCTGTGGACGGGGGTTGGGGGGGGTACAACAGGATCTCCTATAGCCTGGGCTGGCTTTGTAACTAAGGGTGATTTTGAACCTCTGATCCTCCTGCCTCCAGCCCCCCAGTACCAGGATCACAAAACATTCATTAACAAGCTTCAACTTGCATGTGTATACGATGCTGGGAATCAGGCCTGCGGCCTTGTCCATGCTAAGCCTAGAGTCGAAATCTGAACCATACCCCAGGGTGGGGTTTGGCCTTTACCAAGTGGGGCTCTGGATAGTCCTGGGGCTCTTTAGACAAACCTCCTTATCTTGTTTTCTTTGCTTTGGGGCTATGCTGGCGGGTGTGGGGTTTTAGTTTTTGTTTTGACACACAGTCTCGCTGTGTAGCCCTTGGCTGACCTGGAACTGCTGTGTGGAGATGTTATCCTCGGACTCACAGAGATCGGTCTGCCTCTGTCTCCCCGGTGCTGACACAAAAGGCGTGCGCCGCCACACCCAGGACTGAACTCGGGAACTTTTTGCGTTTGTTAAAAGATCTAAAATGGAGCCGTATCCCAGCCCTTTTGATTTGTTTTGCTTTTTTCCTATCATGGGTTTGGATTTAGTCCAAGGCTGGCCCGTTTTATGCCTTCTGGCAGGCTTGATTGCAGAGCAGTTCCTGGAGACCACTGCGGCGCAGCTGACCTACCATGGCCTGTGTGAGCTCACAGCAACCGCTAAGGAAGATGAACTCGGCGTCTTTTTTCGAAACAACCACTTTAGCACGATGACTAAGCACAAGGTGAAGGGGCTTTGGAGGAGGGGAGCAGGAGCAATGTCATTTCCCTGAGCCTTTTTCTCTGGGGTCCATGTGGCAGGCAGGATACAGTGGGTTAAGCCCTGGTAACAGATAACCCCTAGAATCCTTGTGGTTTACCACAAGTGTTTGTTTCTAATTCATGATGCATGTCCTGTCTCACACCATCTCGTCTTCACTCTGGGACTCAGGTGGACGGAAAAGCCTTCCTATAAGTAGGAGTAGATGCCGTGTGTTTATTCTTCTGCCTGGAGATGACCCTGAGCAGAGCAGGTCATGAGGACATGCTGTCAAGGGCCAGTGGGGCTTTGGAACACACACGTCTTTCAGAGTTAGAAGCTGAGGCCCCCTAGGAACTGAGGAGAAGAGGCTGGTCCTGCCCATTCCCCATGTAGACTCTGCTTATTCAGCCCTGGCTAGCCCGGAACCCAGGTCTGCCTACATCCTGTGCTGGGATTAAAGGTGTGCACTGTCACACCGGCCTCGCCTCGAACTTCTGATCTTCCTGCCTTCCTCCCAGGGGATCAGGTTGTAGTCATGCATCACCACACCCAGTTTTTCTGGTTCTCAGAAGGCTGTATCTCTGCGACATCAGCTAACACAGAGAAGCCAGGGTAGGGAAAAGGATTTGGTGTGGTACTCCAGCCCCAAGGATTCCTTAGCCAGGGTCATCACAACACACTCACCTGCGTTCAGGTGTCCTTTTCTGCTCCCCACAGCCACACATATTTAAAGAAATTTTGGATGCTCACAGGGCTAAGCTCCAGTCAGCACACTGATTCAGAAGGTCTCCCGACTGCCCCTCGCCTGTAAAGTGCCTCTGTCCCATCCATGTGTCGGTCTCTTTCAGCTTGTGGGAGGAGTGTGTGCTGGGGTGCGTGCTGGGGATCCGATCCTGGGAACTTGGCCTTGCCGGGCAACTGTGTGACATGCACACTAGCCCCTTGTCCTTCTCTTTGCATGGCAGAGTCACTTGTACCTGCTGGTCACTGACCAGGGCTTTCTTCAGGAGGAGCAGGTGGTGTGGGAGAGCCTGCACAACGTGGATGGAGACAGTTGCTTTTGCGACTCCGAATTCCACCTGAGTCACTCCCTAGGCAGAAGCCATGGGGCCGAAGGTGGGGGCGCCTCTCCAGAGAAGCAGCTGCAGGTGGACCAGGTGTGCGGGGCCCTTCCCAGTGGGGCGGAATGCATTGGCATCTGAGCTATTTTCTATAAGTGAACTTGGGTGTACTTCCTGGCACCACAGAGAACGGACTTGACTGTGTTTTACATGAGCGAGAAGAGCTGGGGAATCTGAAGGAAATGTGGTTTAGAAATTTAGCCTGAATCGAACCTTTGGTCTTAATCCGCCTCGTGACTTGTTTTCTCTCTAGGACTATCTCATTGCCTTGTCCCTACAACAGCAGCAGCAGCCGCAAGGCATGCTGGGTCTTAGCGACCTGGAACTGGCCCAGCAGCTCCAACAAGAAGAGTACCAACAGCAACAGGCAGTTCAACCTGCGCCAGCCAGGGCCCCTTCTCCCCAGGTGAGCCCGCCCCTCTCTTGGTAGGCAGAGGTTCTGGCTTTTCCTGGTGCAGAATGCATGTGGTTTTTGTACAGGTATCTGCAAGCTTTTCCTCATAAATCCTTCTGAGGTACCTCTTTTGATCAAGACGATCCCCGCCCCGTGTCTTTGACCTCTACCAAGGTCATCAGATAACTAGTTGTTAAATCCCACACAGGGGAGAGGATCCACATCTGGACGTCCAGCTGGAGAGCGGCGGCAGAGGTCAAAGCCTGAGTCAGACTGTGTTCTGCTCTAACTGTACCCCCTTCCAGCGTGGACCCGCCCCCCCTGTCAGAGGCGGTGGCTGGTTTGCTCGCAGGATCCAACCCCCCAACCCCTGAGGCATACAGGGTGACTGCACTGCTGGGGATCGATCAGAGCAGGCAGCAGACACCAAAGGCGGACTCGGTACCACGCTCACCCTGGCCTTCTTCTCTGTCCTGTCTTCTACTCCAGCCGGGGCCACATGGGGATGGGCTGGGTGGTCTCTGGCTCCCAACCCCCTTTCCTGGAATGTTCACATGAATATACAGACCCAGGCGGATAGGTGAAGTACCTCTCTGCCTGCCTGGTTGCCCCTGGCTACCCCACGGGCCAGTTTCCGTTTGTTTTAGGGTTTGATTTGGGTTTCTATCTTTATTATTTGTAATGCCTTCCTAGGGAGTTGGGAATAAAACTTCTTTCCTGAGATACGATGTTTTCCTGCCCTGGAGCAGTGGGGTTAAATATTTGACCCAGTTGAGGAATGTGAACGGGGAGGAGGCAGGGAGGCGAGAGGTTGCCTGTCATTTTCTCACAGAGCCAGCAGGGGGAACCCAAGCGCTGCCTCTACCTCGGTCTTGGTAGATGTTCTGTGGGAAATGCTGCTCTCAACTCTATTGGAGATGTGTTTCCAAATCCCTGCGTGGACAGGTACATTGGGGGAAATGCTACTGAGACTTCCAAGGCTCGGAGTTCATGTGGAGGGCCCTTAGATGGCCCTTTGCTAGCTCTGATCCCCTGGTGCCTATTCTTGATTATCTTGCCGACGATTTCCTGGGGAGGAGAATGATGAGGTTCCAGGGAGATTCAGAGGGTGGGGTATATTGATAACGGACAAGTGCCCGGCTGGGGCAAAAACAGGATTCCCATTGAATAGCCAAATGTACTTCAAAGACGCCTGCAACTCCAGGGCCTCTTCCTGGCCCATGTCCTGATCCACCCTAATTTTAACCAGGAAACATCAAAAGACAGAGAATTTGCCAAAAGGTTCAGCTACCAGGGAGATGTTCTGGCCATGGTATAGATTGATGAGTAGGGCCGACACTATCAAAGACTTCCTGTTTCTCCTCCCCAAAATGGAGCTAGAAGACACCACTTTGAGATGAGGGGAATCCAAGGGTATCAAAGAAATTTAGAGCCAGGCGGTAAGTGGCGCACGCCTTTAGTCCCAGCACTTGGGAGGCAGAGCCAGGCGGGTCTCTGTGAGTTCAAGGTCAGCCTGGTCTACAGAATGAGATCCAGGAAAGGCACCAAAACTACACAGAGAAACCCTGTCTCAGAAAAAAAAAAAAAAAGAAAAAGAAAAAAAAAAGAAAGAAAGAAAAGAAATTTAGAGGTCCAGCCTCCAGAGGAAGTTAGGGTATATGGTGTTCCTTGGGGGGTCTCCCATGTGTTCAACCAAATATGGGACTCTCAGACTCTTGAATGTCAGGTCAGGGTGGATCCAGAAGGTCTCAGATGTCTTCGGCTCTGCACAGAGCCAGTAAGGCTGAGTGATAATCCCCTCTGACTGCATCCTGCAGGTGAGGGAATCAGTATTAGAAAAACTCAGTACCACCACTCATGGTCCAACTTCTAACCCCACCTTGTGCTGAAAAATAGCTCATGACCAAGGAAAGACCTGCTCTCTGTTGCCTGGGTCCCACACTCAACGAAAGGGAAGCTGGGTGGAGCTGGGAGCTAGGACGCCAGGGCTCCAGACATTGCCTGATTTAGTCTGGTTGTGGTGGCATACCCTTTTAATCCCAGCACTTGGGCACTTGGGAAGCAGAGGCAGGTGGATCTCTGAGTTCGAGGCCAGCCTAGTCTATTGAATGGGTTCTAGGACAGGTAGGGCTACACAGAGAAACCCTGTCTTGAAGAAAGAGAGAGAAAGAAAGAGTGAGCTAAATTTTACCTGGAGAGAAGAATACAGAGACTTCCCAAATTTCTTCTTGAACTCAGCCCGGATGCTTAGAAGATCAGTCTCGCTTCGGGAGACGAGCACTCGCATCAGGACTTGGAAATTGGGCTCAGTTTCCTGGTAAAGAAACAGAGAGGGGAGTGTGAGGCAGGTAGTTAGGGGATAGTCTCTTTAAGGGCAAGGGGTGAATGGCCTGCATGGGTGAGTAGGAACTAGAGGCAAGATAGAGTTAAGGAGAAGCAATAATCTCAGAGTCACTGTCTACACCCACAGAAGGATAATGAGTAAATATGTTTTCTGTCCTTTCTTTTTGTGGTACTGGGGGGGTCAAACCCAGGGCCTTAAACATGCATTTATCACTGAGCTACATCCTCAGGCTTCTTCCTCCTCCTCTGACAGGATCTCAGCATATACCTCAGGCTAGCCTCAAATTCACAGAGTGCTGAGACTAAAGGTATTAGCCACCATGCCCAGCCCAGATCTGTTTCTATGTGTATGTGTGCATATCTGTGTGAGTGTGTGCCACATGTGTGCAGATGCCTGTGGAGGTCAGAAGAGCGTCTTACATCCCGTGGAGCAGTTGTAAACTGCTGGATATGGGTCCAAGAACCAAACTTGGGTCCTCTGGAAGAGCAAGAAACTCTTAACCACTAAGCCATCTCCCAGCTCCATGTTTTTGTTTTTGACACAGTGTCTCATGTACCCTAGACTGACCTTTAACTCACAGAGATCCACTTACCTCTCTGCCTCTAGACTATTTGGATTTAAGGTATGGGCCACCATGCCTGACAAGCCTTGAACTCTTGGATCCTCTTGTTTCTGCTTCTCAAGTTCTGCGATTACAAGTGTGTGTCTTTTGGCTAGCCTGACTCCTAAAATATACCTGACGTTTTATATCATATATATATAATTATATGACATATATATATATATAATTCCAATCTCATAATCCTAACATACTAAGCTGTGTTTGTTTCCTTTTATGTGTGTGCCTCATGGGCTCTCCACCAAGCCACTCAGGAACTCAGACAGATAACCACAGGTTTTCAAATGAATCCTGGTGTTGACTCATTATAATGAGCCAGGCTTTATCAGTTAAGTATAATAATAATCTGTTGTCAAGATGGAAATCTCTGGATGATTGAGCAAGGGCATAAGTAGACTGTCCTATGAATGAATAGTCATCAATGGGGCATGATGCTGAAGGCTTCTCTGTCTGCCAAAATGTGATAACTTTTTCCAACCTTTCCTATATTACACTTCCTTTTTTATTTTATTTTTATTTATTTATTTTTGTTTTTTCAAGACAGGGCTTCTCTGTGTAGCCTTGGCTGTCCTGGCACTTGATCTATAGACCAGGCTGGCCTTGAACTCAGAGATCTGCCAGCCTCTGCCTCTCCAGTGGATTAAAGGTATGTGCCATCACTGCCCAACTATTACACTTCATATATATATATATATATATATATATATATATGACTAGATTCTGTTGGTATAATCACTCAAACCATAGTGATCACTTTTTAGATAAATAATACACCAGGCACTATGTGTTGTGTTTTGTTTTTCTTTTTTGAGACAGGGTCTCTCTCTCACAATGTAGCCCAGGCTGTCCTGGAACTCCCTGTACAGACCCAGCTGGTCTCAAACACAGACCTGCCTGCCTCTGCTCCTGAATGCTGGGATTAAAGGTGTGCACCCCCACGGCCCTGTGCCCCGAGCATCTCGTACAGTGGCGCAGAGATGGTCGATGGTCGCTGGGGGCTTGGGCTTATGCAGTAAGTGTTCTGCTACCACACTGTCCTCAAGCCTGAGGGTAAGAAACAGGAATGAAGTCTGGCCCGGCGCGGTGGCGCACACCTGTAGTCCCAGCACTCGGGAGGCAGAGCCAGGCGGATCTCTGTGAGTTCAAGACCAGCCTGGGTTACATAGAGAAACCTTGTCCTGAAAAACCAAATAAATAAATAAACCTAGCCAATGTGGAGAAAGGAGGCCCAGGTTGCTCAGGGCATTCACCGTCTCTTTGTTCACGTTTTTTCATCTAATTGAACAAGGACAGGGCATAGTTGTGAAGGTTAATTGAAATGTAAGTAATACGCTGGACACAGCTGCAAAGTACAAGAGGTCCTGGCTGGCCTAGGACTTACGGTGCGCCTCCTGCTTCTGCCTCCCGAGTCCTGGGATTATGGGCTTTCACCACCAGGCCCACCTATTATTTATAGAGCAATGGTTCTCAACCTGTGAGTTGCGACCCCTTTGAGAGTCTAAAGACCATTTCAAAGGGGCCACATATCAGCTATCCTGCATGTCAGATATTTACATTATGATTCATAACAGTAGAAAAATTACAGTTAGGAAGCAGCAATAAAATAATTTTATGGTTGGGGGGTCAGCACCTGAGGAACTGTATTCAAGGGCTGCAGCGTTAGGAGGGTTGAGGACCACGGGGACAGTTACCACCCTCACCTCTGACAACACCGGACAAAGCAAACTCATCTGTTTTGGGAACATAGACACTAAGACAGAGTTAAACTGTAGTGCCTTGAGGGTAACTTCGTTCTAACCGGAGCTCACTCCTCTCTACCCATGACAAGACAGTCTGTAAACAGGGAAGACTAGCTTGTAGGTTCCACCACGCTTGGATCTGAAGGGCAGGACCGGAAGCAGTATGCCTCTTACCTGAAGGGCTTGGTGAAGTTTGTCAGCAAAGTACAGGGCTGTGTTTCTCATTATGGAAGCTAGAAGTGAAGGTGAGATGGTAGAGAGCCGTGTCTAGTGCTACAGCTTCCCATCCCAGTAAAACCCCCCCATACATCCTGAGTAGGTACCTACCGAGGCTGAGCAGAGCCTGCTGAGCATCTCCATGGAAACAGTTCCGGATAGCATCCTCTAATTCTTGCCCAGTGCTTCTCCGATACTGATCAAATACTTTTGGTATGTGTAGGGAGTGGTCGGAAAGGTAAGTTGGTGTGGGGCGGTTACTCACCACAGGGAAGGGTGACTCTCCCCAACACTGGCTGCCACACTCATCAATAGAGCAAGCTGGGTGGGGATAAGGAAGCTTGGGTACCTCGGATAAGGTGTTCAGGACTCCGTTGGGTAAAGATCAGGATCCATTGACCTGCCATACTGGATCCTCCGGTCTGCTGGAGTGCCTAGGGAAGAGGAAGGTGTCTGTGAGGATTGGAGTATGATCATTGTTTGGAGCCTAAAAGCCATGGTTAGGATGTCCCCAAAGATCTGTGGTGAAGGAAATGGGACAGAGGGGAAAAGGGATAATTTAATCTCTGCACTAGGGAGGCAGAGGCAGGCGGATCTCTGAGTTGGAGGCCAGCCTGGTCTACATAATGAGTTCTAGGATAGCCAGAGAAACCCTGACTCAAAAAATTAAATAAGTAAAAATAATAAAAAGAGGCAGAATTAAGAAAGGGGCTCTAGCCGGTCGGTGGTGGCGCACACCTTTAATCCCAGCACTTGGGAGGCAGAAGCAGGTGGATCTCTGTGAGTTCAAGGCCAGCCTGGGC